AGAGTGTATGGGAGTGTATGGGAGCACAAGATGGCCATCGCATACACTGTACGCCAGTCATAGACACCAGTCATGCACTCATTCACTCATTAACAGCACTAACGCTAACACATCACAGCTTTGTCTCACATTAAACCAATTGTTTAGTCATTTAATCATTCAATTGATTGTATTATAGGTTTGCATCGATTGACAATCCATTCATTCACTTCACAGCCGATACTCACGAAACAAATCAATTGAAATGTTTTAATTGATTATATCTTTGATTATAATAATCAATAAATATTAATAATTAAGGAGTGATTGAATGGTCAGTGCATTGATCATCAGTGTTGAGGACAACGGCAAAGACCAGTCATTGACCCCAAGTGTGTCCGCAATAGCCCTCTATTGATAGTTTGATCAACACATCCAACTATTAAGTTGTGATTTTTGATTGCAATTAATTAATCAATCGATTGAATGATGTTTACGGAAGAGACGCCTAAAGATCTGTCCGCCAAACCGTACGTCTAATGAGTTTATGAGATAATTGTCTCAATTGTTTGATACTTATGTCAAACTTATTATCACAAATTGAATATCATTTTTATTACTTGTTTTAATTTATTTTCATTAGTAATACCGAAGAAACCGAAGATAAGTCTACCGAAGAGAAAAGCGGCGAAAGTACTCCCGAAACGAGTGCTAATAATGGAAGCGAAAACACCATTGATTTAAGTGTTAAGAAGAAAACGGAACCGAAAGATGAACCGAAAGTTGAACCGAAAGTTGAACCGAAAGTTGACCCAAAAGTTGACCCGAAAGATGACCCGAAAGATGATCCTAAAGATGATCCTAAAGTTGAACCAAAAGCGGATGATTCAGGTGTGGAACCGATGGAAGTTACGCTCGATCTGTCAATGCCTTCCTCTGCAGTCGTCTCTTCAACTGAGAAATCAAATGCTCAAAACCAAGATGTGGTCAGCGATAGGAGTGAAAGCACTTCACCGGTTGAACGCGCGGCGGTCGACACCGAAACTTCTCATATCACAAATGGTAATCACGTGAACGGATACACGGCTTCGGACGACTCGGTGTCGATGAATGTGGACGAAGAGGTAGATCTTCCGCTATCACCTCAAGTGAACCGATTAAGTGCTGATGAGTTAAGACTAAAGCAGAGGAAAATGCGTCGATTGAAGCAGGAGTTGAGGAACGAAGAGATGAAATTAGTTTTGCTTAAGAAGTTAA